GAACAAGCACAAGCTACATGGTTTTAACGTTAATCCTGACATTCCACATTAAAACAGCAAACTGTTCAAAGAAAAGATTTTATATATTCATTAGTTTGTTCTCTCTATGTTTAGCATTTCTAATTTTTGCTTTAATTATTAGTGAAGAAAGTCCTTAAGAACTTTCCCAGTCAGTCTCATTTTAATACATGTCAGAAGCAGGGAGCAAACTTGTAGCTTGGTTATTCCCTTGATACGCCTTATAATTGAGAGGTAATTGTTAGCCAGATGCTTCCTCGACCAAAAAGCTGTTTTTTAAAGCACAATATGACAAGTTAGGCAGCAGGATTAGTTTATCATTAAATCCTCCAGAGGATAAAGCTATAATGATACAATTGCAATCAAGACAAAGAACGGATTTCTGATTTTGCTGTTTTGATGCAGCATTATCATTCATCTCCTTTGGCAGAGAAAATGAAGACAAAACCACATGGAACAGTTCCCTGTGACATGCTTGATGTGACATGAGCTTTGATTGTTTCTTTATATACTCTTACCCTCATTCCTTCAAATCGTGACAGTGCTCTTAGTGGTCGCAGTGCTCGGAGGGTCCTGAGGGATTTGATGGGACCCATCTCAGAGTATCCAAGCGTATAGGCGACCAGGCTTATTAAAGAGACCTGAATGGAGACACAAAGCAAAACCCCAATCTGTTAGTACACTCCTGCCATTTTACTTCTCCTCTGGCTTTCCTTCCTGAAAAGAGACTGTTAGTTAGTGGGAAAAAAAATCTTAAACAGAAGCCATTAAATGAAACCAATGCAGAAAAAAGGAGATTTTTACATCCCCACATATACAGAACTCTTATCAACTCACAAACCTTTTATTTCCACTTTAATGCAGAATATGCAGAAATACAGACTTTCAAAGTTGTCAGCTTTCTTTTAGCTAAGCACAGAAAACCTTTTAATGTCAGCGTGCACAACGGGTGTGAGAAAGGAGACCACCATTACAAAACCACTCCTCTGTGGTGCCCATGCTGTAGGTTTCCTGTATACCCCTCAAGGTGTGCCTGTCTTCCACTACTGAAAATATGAGTCACATAAGTGTTATAATTTAGGGCTTTCTAGATGGAAGCACCTGTGAGATCGAACTGTTTCCAGCAGAGATAAAAGATTTTAGCATTACCATTCAATTACTAAGCTTAAACATACTGATCAGAAACAAGTCTAGATTGCTGATAGACATGACTTGATAACATAGAATCTAAAAGAATGATAAGCTTGGTGCTTTGATTCTGCACTTTTTCATTATTTTTTTTTGTTTCTGCACAGCCTTTACAGTAGAAGGAAACTTCAAAGTTGAAGTTCATCCTTCTTCAAAGACTATTTGAAATAAACTACCTCTTTCCAAACCTGGAGATAGCATGGAGGGACTGCAATGCTTTTCATGTTCTCAGAGCTTTTGTAGTGCTCAGTTGGTCAGAAATGTGGATGCCATCAGGCATGGGACTGGAGTCTGGATGAACTAATGGCAGGGAAGATTACAGGTCAGACTAACAAACACATGGAGCAACAGGGTTTTGCATGCTCAAATCAGTGTCCACAGCCTGAACTCTTACTAAGTCGAGAGTGAGAAACAAATAATTCTCCAACACCAGGGCTATCATGCTAATTTGTGTGTAAAAAAAAAGAACCAAAACTAATCACTATATATTACAAAACATTATTTTCTTAGAAGACAGAGACTTGTGCATATTGCTCATCACAGTTCCCTTATTCCTGTCTTACTTCAGCTGTTTTCACATCCACAGTTATCATATTATCAGATTACCTCACACGCATCAATGTGAGTGTGAAAAGCTTATCTCAAAGAATTGTGTTTTATTGCTATTTTAAAGATGACAACTAAGTCTAAAAACAGGGATACTTCTACACAATATAAAAAAACCCAGATGCTTACTGTAAAAGGAAAGTCTGGGCTGGGCTCCTCCATGAAGACAGACTGCTCTGGTGGGAAAACTTCCATTTCATTTTAGGATGGAATAATTTTTCCTCTGAACTGCACTGCTGGCTGACCAGCCCAAAATCACTCACGAGGTTTGTGATAAAGCAGGGTAAGATGAGAGTGGTCCTCTAAGTCACAAGCTAGTGTCCTTTATGGAGCAACCTGTCTGCTGAATATGCATTTCCTTATGTACAAGTGCTGCCTGCACAGCTAAGCATCTTTGTAAGACTTGCTCAATTTGTTAAATTATTTACCTATTGATGGCTTTATTGTGGCATGTGGGTGACAGCAAGCCTAAGGGCAGGGGGTCTCAGGGACACTAAGCCTGGGCTGGATGCAGTGGGCTGGGAATCTGCTGGGGCAAGACAGCCCACTACTGCAAATGACTAAGTGGCACAGGGTCTGACTGTCATGCTTTAACATGTTACTCTTTAACAAGGTGTGACACAAGCTCACCTCCTGTGTCCAGACTCAGCAGCTGACATGGAAGGAAGGTCTTAATAAACACTTTTGCATTTTAGTGGTGAGTGTGCTAGAAAATCATCACAGTAGACAGGAAAACTGGATTCAAGGCCTGATGACTTGGGCCACTTAGACATTGGGGAGGTAAAAACCACTAGTGAAGACTTTGCTTCCAGCTCTAGGAAAGCAGATCTGAAGCCATGACATGAGCATGCCTGAGCAGCTGTTTTAGAGTAAGTAATGCTATAGGTTAGACATACTTCTTCCACCTAAATCCTGCTCAGTCAATGCTCACAGTTAAAGATGAAAATCTGGATTTGAATTCAAAAACGTCTTAAAATTGTCAACACTTCCAAACTGAGGCAGTACCCACCTTCTGGCTTCCCTGTTTTTTTAGCAGCCATGATTACATCCTGTACTCTGAAGCTGCATAAACATATAGTCCAAAGCTTTCTCCTTCCATTCACTCTACCCATTGATTTAATGTTGCCTAAATAATGAGAAGGGGCTGAAGGATTTGTCTAATAGCAATAAGCAAATGCATAGCGTACTTATACACTAAAGTAATTAAAATGACTCATCTTAAAACTCTAATATAACTAACGTTATTGAGATACCATGATAGGAGCAACACTGTGGCACATGTTTCTGCCTCTGGTAGAAAGTTCAGTGCAGAGAACAGCCTTAACCCCCAAAAGCCCTGGAGCTTCCTTTCCAGAAAGGCTATAGGTGTAAGAAAAACATCTCACTGATACCATGCTCAGTGATAGAAACCAAGATGCATACACTCACATACCATTTGTAAAATTAATGTACAGATTTAAAAGAAAATTAATCAAATATGGAGCACCCAACATCCTTTGCTAGCTTCCACCACAATGACTTCAAGTCAGATCTCAAGGTTTTCACCCTGCCTTGGTTTGTGCATCTGCATGCTTCCTCCCTCATTCTGGATTTGTGTCCTAAAACTCCCCATTTTTAAAAGCAGATGTTCTGTTCAAATCCTGCAGGACCAGACTTTGGATATGAGGGGGTTACCATTTTCTTTAGAGTGCCATAAATGTCACCCTGAAACACATCACAGGTGCTGGTGTCCTCCCGACACAGATTTACACAGCATTAGATATCTCTTCAGAGGATTAGGCCATGAAGCTGTGTGATATTTGGCAATGATTTACAAGGCTGGAGTCAGAACTGAGTTTGAGACAACTTGTTTAAATGCTTGGATGTTGGTTTTGAAGGTATCCCCGTCAAATTTTATTTATAAGAGAATTACTAACACAGAGACTTGGCCATTTGGACTTGATTAAAAGTGACCCGGAAGGTTATTTTTAGGAAACAAATCAAGCAGTTTTCAAAATTGGTGCTGACTGCCCCACATAATCACAGCAAAAGGTGAAGTCAGCTGTTTCTGTTACTCTTTTTTTTTTCCTTTTACAAGGCTGTGAAGCCCAGAGCTGCTCTAAGATTTTGCTTTGTGCTCTGTTCAGTATCAGAAATGTGCTGGCACCCAGAAAACACCTCCAGGGTCAATGTAACCTCTAGATTCACAATATGGCACAGATTCCTAATCCTTTCAATATCTATTTGCAAATAGTTTTGTAGATTTTTCCAAAAAAAATGCCCCTGATGAGGAGGCAGCACCGTGACATTGTGGAGCGCAGGTGAATCCCGAGGAGTCACTGTTGCCTGGAATTATTTCCTATTAAATGCACAACTTGCTGTTGGGCTTGAGCGTTCACCTCACTTTCACCTTTCACATAGCACGTGTGTGACCAGGTAAGCTATGGAGTCTCTCATCCTTGTGTGCACTTCTGACCCAAGAAGCCTTATTATTGTTCTCAGTTGCAGATGCTCTGCTTCTAGCATTTCCCTCGAGGGTCTTCCCAGAATCTGTTACATCTTACTAAGAAGCTTTTACAGCTTTCCATCTAAACCTTCCTTACCCTTAATTTAATCAAGTACTAATAATATTCTCCACGTTAACTCTAGACTGTTCCTTGACTTGCTGTTCACTTGGTGCCTCTGAAGTCCCAGCACAATGCTGTCACTGGCTTTTCTAATGTGAATGCTGGTGTACAACCTGGCTAGCAATGAGGGCCCCTAAAGTAGGGAGTGGTCTTTATAAATCAGTGTATGCAACCCTGTCTCCACAGACATTAATGGTAAAAGTCTCACCAATCTCACAGGCTAGGATTTCCACCACGTGGCACGTCTTCCCTTTTTCTTTCCTCAGATCATCTCAGCACAGCCCAACAAGTGCCCAGCCTCAGCACTGTTGGTGACTTTCCAAAATGGATTCCACCTCTAAAGAGTGGTAGCCTGGAAAGTGTCAGCATCTACAGCCCAGCTCAGTGGTGGAGTTTCCCAGCAAAGCTCAGGCTCCAGGCAAAGCCACCTTGAAGTTAGTTACACACCTCTGCTTCTTCTTGACATCACAGGCAGGCAGGGGTGCTGATTCTGGCATTTACAGAATTTCCCCCCCCTATTCCTTACTTTATTTGCCCAGAGATAGTTTATCTATGTATCTATAAATATATCTATAAATAAATGTTATATACAAATAAATTACATCTATATACTTATAGACCTGTATTTCTATATTTCTACATATTTTCCATATGCAAATTTATCTATGTAGATTTTTACAGTTGTTTGTATAACAGCCTCCTGGAGCTGGGTAAAGGCAGAGATAAAGGAACCCCACAGCTCTTGGTTTTGTTTTTTTTTTTTTTTTTTCCATTTTCAATGTTATGCTCAATGAAAAAAACAAGAGCTTTTAAATCTTGTGACACTAGAAACACCAGCTATGAGGATTATCAGGCCTGTGGCTGGGGTTTTGAATGCCAATCTCCTGTCATCTATGTAGCTTAGTGGAATTATCACCACGAGTCTCGTGTCCCATTGTATGACATTCATATGTGTTTCCAGGGTAAAATCAAGAATCGGTGTATTTAGAACAAAGGCAATGATCTCTGAAGAGAGGCTAGTCTCACTGATAACTGTTCAAAGTTATTGTTAATAAAGAATCACAGAATTGTTTTGGTTGGAAGAGACCTTTAAGATCACCAAGTCCAGCCGTTCACCCGCAGCACTGCCAGGTCACCACTAAACCACATCCTTCAACACCACCTCTACACAGCTTTTAAATCCCTCCAGGGATGGGGACTCCAACGCTGCCCTGGGCAGCCTGTTCCTGGGCTTGACAACC